CTATTTCACATGTGTATAACCAATTGCGATAATGTAAATTTTAACATGAAGAACTGTTATTTAATTGTTGAACTAATTAGCTTGTCGCTACAGATATACGTTGTATTATCAATAATAGTGAACTGTAAAGTACTAATTAACTGATCCACTGTTTACTTATTATTTACTGGTATTTTTTTGTTCTGTAAGTTTTTATTTATTTATTGATTATAATTTTATTGATTGTAACTTAAATTAAATTATTTCAATCTGAATTTATTTTGAAAATGAGTATTATAATTACCAGTTAATTGAGCTACACGTTCTTGTATCTTTTTTAAATCAACTAAGACTTTATCTGCATTAGCTTCTTCGGTTGTAAACTTAAAAACATTGAAAATTATTTCTCGTGCTTGAGATCCCAAAGGTTTGCCTTTTAATACACTTGCCATTTTAATAAATATAAATATTAGTTTATAATATAGGGCCACTCCAAATAAACATGTAAATACTTGACAACACTGTCAGAAATCTAGGACTAATTACACGTTGTGAACTCCTAGCCGACTGCAAGAGAAATGAGCAATCCCTTCCACTTTTCAATTTGTTCTACGCGCAACCCGCCAGCTCTCGCTTGTCGGATATAAAATCTTTTATCCGTATTAATGTTACAGTTAGACCGGAAGTTGTAAAATTGTAAATTAATTTGTTTAGGGTTTTAAGCAGATTTGAGTAATTAACATTTATACTTTAATTAACAGTAATGATAAAAGAATTCATTTGAAGCTTGGCAAAATGTTTTTTGACTAAGATATCAATATTTTTATAATGCGTTCTGAGACGCAAGATAGATTCGCAGCGAAAAAGGTACGCACGTGAACCGCTTTAAGCCAAAAATAGGAAGCGTTAAAGATGGAAAAGGAAATTTCCCCAGTGATATTCTTGAATAGATGGGTTGAATTTTTCGACGCAATATTTAATGGCCATCGTATCGAAGAAGCATATAACACCCTAGCAGATCGAAATGATTGGAATCTATTCAACCCAAACGAAAGACCACCTATAATTGAAGAGGTAGCCCAAACCATTAAAAAGCTTAAACATAACAAATCACCAGGAACTCATCACATTTGCAGTAAGCTCTAATAGCGACGCCATTGGTGAATGGTGGCGACGCTCTGCTACAGGACAGGCACTACATAAACTTTTACTTCTTGTCTGGCAAAATAAAACCTTGCCCTCTTAATAGTCTTAAGATGTGATATGCTCGTTAAATAAAAAAGGTCATCAACTCCAGTGTGACAACTATAGAGGTATAACCTTTTTAACAACTAATTACAAAAAACTAGCAAATATTCTCTACGAAAGGCTACAAGTTTACACAATTGGTATAGTTGGAAAATACCGGGCCGGATTTACTTCAGAAAAACAACAATTGACCAGATTTAATCAATAAGACAAATCCTCGAGAGAAAATTAGAATTTATTATTGAAACCCATCATCTATTTGTCGACTTCAAGGCCGCATACGAGAGTGTCAAAAGGACAGTACTATACTTATCAATGCGTGAGTTTTATATACCAAAAATACCTATCCAATTAACGAGAATGACAACATCTAACTTAAAAGCCAGTGTTAGTATATAGGGAGAAAATTCTCGATCCTTTGAGATAAAGGATGGCCTCAGACAAGGAAATGCCCTCGCTTGCCTCCCATTTAACATTACTTGGGAAACGGCAGTTCGAGATACACGAATTAGAGGCGTTGACACTATTTACAATAGCTCGATAGATATCAGCATACGCTAATGACATTGGCATAATAGGGCGTAGCAAGCGAGATGTTGAGAAATATTTTCTAGAATTGGAAAACGGCAACGAAACAGGTAGGTCTAGTCATGAACGAAGACAAAGCAAAGTACATGTTGGTTACTAATAATCCTACAGCAAATGATGAACGAGAAAAGATATTTGAACATTATATCTTCAAACGTGTTGACAGCTTCACATATCTTGGCTCGCTAGTGATTACTACGAACAAAAAAAGCGAAGAAATTTAAAGACGAATAAATAAATAGGGACTCCAAAAAAATTCCACTCAAGAAATATCCAAAGAACTAAAATTATTCTATACAAAACACTGCTGGGACTTGTCCTTACATATGAAGCATAAACATGGAATCTTACGCCGAATCCACAAAATATTTGGAACTATAAACAACAAAGAGCAGTGGCGCAAAAGATGAAATGCAAAGGCGCTAAATTTAAATTTTCCGACACTTATTAAGAATAGCTATAAAATATTTCTCAGACGAGAAAGTTTTAATTAAATATTAACGATAATAGTCTAAAATGTGACACAATTGGTAAAAAACTTTAATATAAATAAAATTTCATGTGACAGTTGGGACAAACAATAACATAACCAAACTAAATTTGATTTCTTAAACAAGGAAATAGACTATGTTTTCTTGTTTAAAGTGGCCTCTTAAGATGGCACTTCCTGTTTAACAATATTTTTGTCCCCACTACCTTTACATTCCCTCTTTTGTCTTTTTGCTCGATGGGTACCACTACGCTAGTAGTGTCTGAAATGGCAGGTTCTTCCAAAAGAGTGTATTTACGATTGCCTAATTTTGATAAAAGTGTAAGGCGGTGGTATGATGAATTAGAAAGAGAGTTTAGTGAATATGAGGACTACAACGACAAAGATTCTTCTCCAGAGAGTGACCATAACTCTTATTATAAGATGGAAGGTCATGAAAACAATGCCAAAGAAAATCAGGCGATAGGTGAAGAAAAAGAGCGGCCAGAAACAACAAATGGAAAGTTTTATTTTGGTAAAAATCGATACAGGTGATCTGCTGTTCCGATCAATACAGATTTGAATATTAGAATAAAAAAACACAATCAGGATGATTCTGTTCTTCCGGGATTACAAGGACCTGCACAATGTGGTGATGTATCTGATCCCTTAAAAATAGGGAGCCTTCTTTACACAGAGGATATGGAAAACGAAATATATCTACGAAAAAATGAAAAGATATTGTTATTTCAAAATAAATTTAGCAATTCTGATAGAACAGAACTGAGAGAACTAACAAAGGAAAAATTTAGAGCGTTTCTCGTTATCTTGTATTACTCCGCAGTTTTCAAGTCAACTAATGAAGACTTGCAATAAATATTTACAACAGATGGAACAGGATGAGACATATTCAGATCCAATATGTCTTTGAAAATAGTGTATGTGTTGCTCGCATGTCTAAGTTTAGTTGACAGAATACTTAGTGTAAATATTTTATTGCTTTTGTTTTATGTTTGATATTGAAGATGATTGAGAAGAACGTAAACCTAATGATCGAACTGCAGCAGTGTCTTGGTTATTTAAGCGTTTTGTAAAAAATTACCAAGACTGTTATTCTGTGGGAAAATTGTGTTCCATCGACGAAATCCTGATAGGATTTTGCGGTAGATGTAAATTCCGCATGTACATACCTACTAAACCTCGGAAATACGGACTGAAAATTATGGCCCTAACAGACTTAAGTAGGCACTATTTCGATAATGGCTATATTTACTGTGGTAAGGATAGTGATGGTTTTTCTCTAACAAATGAGGAAATATGTTTCATGAAACCAATACGCGGTGTTAGGACTATGTAATCCAATTGCTAATTCACAACGAAATTTCACAGCAGACAATTGGTTTTCATCCATAGAAATCATGAATGCCTTAAAAAACAAGGACTGACCTTTGTTGGCACGCTCAAGCGAAACAAAAAGGAAATACCTATGCAGTTCCTTCCAAGTTGGAGCAGAGCTGAAGAATCTTCCATTTAAAATTTCCTACGGTAAAAAAAGGAAAGGCAGTTCATCATTGCACTATACCAAATGTGAAGACATATAATCTGGTAAACTCGAAATTATTTGCTTCTATAATCAAACAAAAGGCGTGTGGGGATGCACGAGATAAAAAAATGTACCAGATATTCTACTAACCGGCGAACTAAGCGATGGCCAATGACTATTTTTGACAATATTGAAGGTGTCAATGCACACATTTTATATAGATGTTATAAAAAACAAGCCATAGAGAGAAAAGCCTTTTACAAAATTCTTGCAAGACAACTTGCAGAGCCGTATGTCAATATAAGACTGTACAATTTTCGATTACATAGGGAGCCTTCGCATGGGTATCAGTAGAATACTGAATAAAGCTTTACCTGAAGCAGAGAGGGGAGAATTAAATAATTAGAACCAGAAACGAAAGAGATGTGGTATCTGTGATCGAAAGTATGACAAAAAAAAACAAAAATGTTGTGCAGCATAGGTTCCCGACCGATGTGCGGCAACTGCAGGGCATATGTTTGCAAGAATTGTATTTAGAAAAATGTTACTTGTAAATAGTTTGCAGTTTTATTGATAATAATATATTTTAATAGTAATATTTTATTGTAATATTTTAATAAATAATAATAAATAATAATAGTGGTTTTATTTTTTATATTTCTTTTGTAAGAAATTATGTTCTGCTGTCAGAAAACCTTGAACAATAAGTTATGTTAAATTTTTTTAGCATTTGTCATTATTAATGACAAATAAATAGAAAATGGGCTTACATGGTTTTATTCCAGCTAAAATTATTACAAATTATAACGAAATAATGAACTATTTAATTTTACAAAAAAAAACTAAAAAAGAAAACGGCAGAATAAACCACGACGCCAGTTGAGGGTTAAACATGTCGCGCTAATACAATTCCAGAGACCGACCCGATGTAACACATAAAGAAGAATATAAGTTTGATGTTGATCCTTAAAATTGACAAATATTGAGTCATTTTATACATTGTAGATTTACTATAACATTTTCAACCATAATAGCGCGATAAAGTTCCTCAATACCTGTGTTTGACATAAGCTTAGAATAGAAACAACATAAACTCTCATAAGTTTATATGAATAGTTACACATATTTATTCACTTTTTATTGAATTGCTAACAATGATTTGTTTCCTTTCAGAATATACAAATATGTTTTTTATCGCTCTGTTTACGATAGAAATGTTGTTAAAGATGTATAGTCTAGGTTTTCAAGTGAGTATTTATCGATAATAAATGTTTGCACGAAAAGTATGACTTTTTTACTTTTAGGGATACTTTGTATCATTATTTAATAGATTTGATTGTTTTGTTGTAATTGGCAGTATCATGGAAATGATTTTAACCAATACTCATGTGATGCCTCCGTTGGGAATATCTGTGTTACGTTGTGTTAGATTATTGAGAGTATTTAAAGTTACCAAGTAAGTATGCAAAAAATTATTTAAAAACCCTTGGCTATATATTATTATATATATTTGTTTTATATATTATTATTATATTACATTATTGCCTCATTATATATTTAAAAGCAAAATTATCTCTTACAAAGTGGTGTTAATAATTTTACAAGTACAAAGAGCTAGGAATGCCACATCAGTTGGTAAATTTAATAAAACTAACTCTTAAAAAGGTTAACTATAGAGTACGAATTCATGGAACTATCTGAACCTTTTAAAACAAATAACGGGCTGCGCCAGGGAAACCCTCTCTCCTGGATACTGTTTAATAAGGCTCTGGAACAAGTAATACCTATGTTACAAATTACATTCACTGGTTCAATATATAATAAATCAGTGCAAATCCTAGCCTATGCTGATGATATCAATATTATTGGAAGAACGGAAAACCCTGCACGAGAGGCGTATGTAGTATTAAAATAATCAGCTACAAAAATTGGTTTAATAATAAACACCAACAAAAAGGAAGTATATGAAAATAAGCACGCAACCACAAATCCTACGACCATTAGTTATAAAAAAACGACGTCATCGAAGCAGTGAACGAAGCAGTATACCTGGGAGCGCTTCTGAACACTGAAAATAATACTACGCAGAGATAAACCGCAGAATTTGCTCAGCCAAGAGATGCTATTTTGGGCTTAATCTCCTCCTTAAACCCACAATTATATCGAGAAATACAAAAATAAAACTCTACAAATCAATAATACGCCCAGTTCTAACATATGGTTCAGAGACTGGACTCAAACAAAAAATAATAAAAACATGTTGGGAGATTTCGAAAAAAAAAGTACTAAGGCGAATCTATGAAGCAGTGAATGACACTGGAGTGTAGAAAAGATAATACAACTTGGAACTTTATAAAATATACCAGGAACCTGTAAAATATATTAAGATAAGACGTCTGAAGTGGATAGTGCATGTTATGCGGATGAAACAAAATGACCTAGCTAGAAAATGCTTCTTGATAGATCCATTGGCCAGAGAAGAAAAGAAAGATATGAGAAATATGGGAATACGTGCTTGGGGGAGAAAGGCAATGGATAGGGATAACTGGAGAGAAATTTTTGAGGAGGCTAGAACCCACGCAGGGTTGTAAAAACAGAATGATGATGATGATGAAAATTACAAAGCTTTCGTGAAGACGCGCATTGAAATTTTTAAACTCGAGGTTTCGGCACCCATTTTATAGCCATTATCAGGTCATTATCAGGTTCCCTTCGAGTGCTGGGTCTCAATCTGCCTACTCCCGTCACTTGTAATGTACCAGTATCTCTTTATGTAGAAATTCGGTCGCTTCAGCGACCCACGGCACTAACCCATCCCTCTCAGACCGTTTCCGCGCATACTGACAGAATGCAACTACACAGGGTAAGATCTGTCGTTACTTGACACTGAGTGTTAGGCAGTCTAAGTCTCAGTGCCATTTGATGGTTCTTGTATTTCTACAGCACAAGATAGTGGTACGTCACGAGTGAGGGGAGTAGGCAGATTGTGACCCCGAACTCGAATGGAACCATATCCCGCTTAGTAATTTTTATTTACCTGTCTGTGGGAATTTATCCAAACATATACATATATACTTATGAATTGCTGGTTCTGTCACTACAATATTTTTTTCTTACGACACAACGTTCACCAAAACTGCACTATGTCCAAAGTTGCAACCCCCACAAACTTTTAAATGGAGAGAGGGGACAAATTTAAAAAGGGTTTTTATTACTTACTCAACAGATAAAGATGTTGATGTTGGAACCGTTTGTTAACTTCTGGTATGAATCATTCATCAAACAGCTTTTGAAAAGGCTTTCTGTCATCCACGCACTTTTTGGCCATAAACAAAAAGTGTTAATTTACACGTTTTTGCTCCCCTCATGTCTAGTAATATGAAACAAACGTTTAGCTTGAAATGACATGCCAAGGCATCTGTAAAGGGAAAAGTAACTCTTTTTTTTAATTTCAGTTTAAATGGCTCTATGTAGGAGGAGCAATTAGATAGTTTTTCTCCTGTTACATCCATCAAACGTATTTTATGCAACTTTTTAAACGTTGCAATAATCATTTTCTAGCTACAAAATCATGTTTTTTAACTTATTGTAAAAATCTCTACCTTTTTGACCAATATGGGCCTTTGTTCATTAATCCATTATGTTCTGTGCCTCCGATTTTAAGTCTGTGAAGCCATTGCGAACACCTGTCATGTAAACGTCCGCGATTACATTCACAATTAAAGCGAACCAATAAGCTTCGGGCAAAAGTCATAGTGCTGTTAATCGGATAGAGCTTGTAAAATCATGATTTGCCATAGTTATTGGGCATTTCTATGTAATTAGATATCTAATTAATTATTATAGGCTTTTTGGCTTACGGATGTTCATACGGGCGGTCCATTGTAAAGTTCTAATTCAAAAGCAGATCAATGTCTATATTTTTTGACATATCTCCTCTTTGATTGTAAATTGCAATAGTATAAAGTTAAAATATTATTTCAAATATATTTGTAAGGTTCAATATTGCGACAATGGCGAAGATTAAGGTATTAAGTTAATTTATTAATATTTATAAACGATAGGAAATTTAGTCTATTGCATTTACCTCTTCGCTAAAATTACATGAATAATTAAAAGAATCTAGCTAGGGAAATGGCCGTTTCCTAATCCTCTATGAGGTTATCCAAAATCCACATTTTCTCCTCTTTTTTACTCACAGAATTCACAGCATACCTTCTGTTTTGTGCTTATCATTATCACTGAGGGCTTCATAACTTCATTTTTTATTACATACTATAATAATTTCCAATTGAAGGTAACTTATCTACAAATTAAACTGAGAGCTAACGGCAACAATAATGTTAAATCTCAGAAGTAAATTCTTACCTGCAGTTACCGGGGTCATTTTTATTGTGCATGTGTCAATGTAGATAAGTGAAAATAAGGATATTTCCATAATATTTGCCCCCGTAACAATATACCTTCGGAATACTTTAAAACATCGATAAAGTTGTCAACCCTTTGCTGGTCTATATATTTACGTCTTTAGAAAGAGTGGAAATGGGAGAAATAGTTTAATCGTTCGGTTTCTGGCTACTCAAACTTCAAACTTTGTTCATGGCCACTACTCAGTACACATATGTTATTCTTGGTCAGTCTTAGGTTGATTTCAGTTTCTTTTTTATATGTCTGATTAATAAGAGTACCTAAATACATATATTCATTCACCTTCTCGAATTCTACAACTGATCCATACTCCACCTCTAATTTAAAGGACCCTTTGGTAGTTATTTCTTAATATTAACTTTCAGTCCCATTTTAGAGTTTTGCCGAATTATTCTTTTTGCTATACTTGCCAGTTTTTGCCATTTCTTGCAATGAGAACCACATCATCAGCACACGCTAAGCATTGGTGCTCTTTGTAGAAGACAGTGTTGACAAATGGAGCAGAAACACTTACCTGAAGAAAATCCTGGGCTACCCAACTAAGATTCACACAGAGACGACTGTAACGATCCATCCAAGAACCAAGGTGTCTTACGTCATCGAAAGAATAGCCAGATTAAAATGGTGATCGACAGGACACATAGCTAAAATAATTGATAGGCGATGGACAAAGAGGTTATTGGAATGGACACAAAGAGAAGATAAGAGAAGCGTCCGTCGATAACCTACACAATGGGCTGACTATTTAAGAAGGCTAAATAAAAAATGGATAAGAGTGGCTCATGATAGACGGAGCTAAAAAAGGGGAAGGGGCCTATACTCAGCAGTGGACTTTTGAGGCTAGATAATGACTGAGAAAAGCAAGCTGGAATCAACTTAGAATTATAATTGGCTTCCTTATTGGACATGCGCCAGTCAAGCAGGAACACCTGCATACAATGAAACTATTTCATGGAGACTTAAGCCGCAGACTTTGTAGCACAAAATCTGAAACAATAAATCATATTATGCGTAAGTGCAAGGGACTAGATCGCAGGCGGCAAACACTTTTTGGAAACAACCAAGTGCCTCCAAATATATATGATACCCATTCACTCGACGTGTATAAGCTGGTACAGGGTTCCAGAATCCTGGAATAGAGATCATGAAGGAATGGAAGATGTACAACAAGCAGTACGACCAGTTGATAACAGACGGCATGCAGGAAAAAACGATTCAAGAAGAAGACATCACACTTATTAAAAATGACAGGACGACAGAAAGAATGGATAACGCAGGAAACCATGATCCTAATGAATGAGAGGCCAGAAAGCATAGAATGAATACAAGGAGCTCAATAAAATCGTTAGGAAAAATTACAGAGAAGCTAAAGGAACCTGAATGTCAACATAATTTAAAGAAAGCGAACAACTTGAGCATATATGGGATAGCTTTAGCGTTCACAATGAAGTAAAAGCAATGACAGGCAGTTATAGAAAGAGACAATAAACAACCTTAAAAATAATACGAAATAAACGAAATACTTATAGCGGCAGAGAACAAACTCACGAGATGAAAACAATATATCGAAGGACGTTTTGACGTTTACATACTATGTGTCCCACAATACATTAACAAATAAATAAAAAAAAACTGCAGAAATAACTACTTTTATTCATCTGTTTACTTATTCTCCGTACGTTACATACCTCCGATTCTCAATATCTTTTTTTTCTCCATATTTTGTCACAAATTTTAAGGTTTTGTAAACCTACATTTTTTTAAGAAAGACACTAAAATTATAATTTACAAAGAATGTTATAGTTTTTACAGATTAATCTATGGGTAAAAATGTCTGCTCTCGTAAAAACGATTATAATTAAGTCTTGAATAGTAACGAGTACTAAGAAATTTCACACAAGCATTATTTTTCACCTATTTTCAACCTCATTTTAAAGCTTTTGATTCGTTCAGGAGATTTAATTCACGTTTCAATCTAATGAAGTAACATTTTGCAATATTGTTTAATGGTATTTATCGATCCCTGATGTTGCAGAAAGCGTGTTTCGTCATCAAGGGATAATGACATTGATTATATTTAACAATGACATCCACAGGTATTGTGTACTTTTATTATTCTTGTTAAAATAATCACGAACCATTAACGGAATGAGTTATGTAAATAAAAACGTTACATTTTATTTTAGATTAATATTATTGGGTACTGTTTATCAAATTCAGACTCTTGTTAATAAACATACAAATAAAAAAGACACGTAGAGATAATCTGCATATTCAGTGAGATTTATCGGTTCTATGAGGTTATAAAAAAGTACAGTAAGGTCTCGTTTTATGCGGTGGATACGTTCCACAGAAAAGCGCATATAAAAATATCGCATAAAAAAGACATTACCTGCCTTGAAAAAGTATAAATACGTTCCGTAGCCTTCTAGTTAAATAAAACCAAGACTAAAACAAAAAAGTTTGCAGAAATTAAAAGAAATAGGCTGCATAATAAATTACTTCGAATATCTGAACAAAATTGATATAAAAGCTTGAATTTTTTCACAAATTTAAATAAAAAAAAGTTTGTCCTAAAATAATTTGGTACAAAGTTAGCCTCTTTTTTTATTTAATTCATAGCACCTTTGTTTATAACAACTAAGAAATCTAATTAGCGCTATTTGAAAGAATATACAATATAGTTTTAAACTACTAAATTTTAAAATTATTGCCCTGTAATGGAATCCTCCACAAAGCTTCAAAATGTATGTAAAATCCGTCGGCTTTAAAACTCTCGGGAGCTGAAGGGAGGGGGAAGGCGCTGTTAACTGTATCTCTGTTCCTTTTTTATGTATTTCAACGTTTCTTTTTGAACTAGTATGTACTTTATGCGTACATTACGAATGTGCATTATTTCAATAAATAAATTGTCAAATAAACCACCTAATGTGTTTAAAAACAATTTTTTTTTATTTTTTTAGTAGTATTTAAGTTAAGTTTGAATGTAAAACAGAAGTACTTGTCATTTCCTATATTTTGGGGAATAAGCCACAATTTAAGTTTATAATGAGTTTATTTTTGATGTTTCGATTTCTACTCCGGAAATCTTTCTCAGAATGCAGAACATTAATAAATTAATCAAATTTTATTTTTGGTTACTTGGTAGAAAATTTTTCTGATAACTCTTTTGGGTGATTGATTAGTATGAGGAAACTCAGTAGATCTGTTATGGTAAAAATTTAAAAAAAAATTATTGATAAAAATTGTAGACAGCTTTAAACACCACATTTTAAAATTAGTTACAATCTTACAGGGTGTTCTATAAGATTGTGGCAGACCAAACTTATGTTTTTTTAAATGAAACACTCTGTATTTTATTTTAAATTTGAAATCTGCTTCACTTTCACATCACAATAATGTAAAGTTTTATTATGTTATACCGGATATTTAAAAAGTTATAACCAATATTACCTGAAAATCGTATCAAGTTTAACTCCCTGTATCATTAAAAAGGAGTATAGGACCATTGATCTATTGCAACCATAGTTTTTAATAATTGTTAAAAATTGTAAAACATATTCGTTTTCATAATATTCGTTAATTTAAATACAGGGTAAGTCAAAATGCAAGTACATTATTTTCTTGATAATATTAAGGCAGTTGTTTTAAATATTTGCAATTTAAAGCACGTGGTCTAAGAGATTTATTTATACAGAGCTGTTTAACATCCAATCTCCTGATGAATTGTTACCAAGTAATAATGTTACTCGATCTTTACTTGCTTTATGTCCACTTGCAGTTTTTTATCCTTAGCAATGTAAGTACGGTTAGACATTTTGTTCCAATACAGTCCCGTTTCATCAGCGTTAAATACATGATCGGTATTTATTATTATTATAACTTCTTTTCTTTGCATTGTTTATCCCATATTTCTAATTTAGCTCCAGTAGCCTTTTAATTCTCTAGTTTTTTCTCCTTTTCTATTTTTCTTTTGTTTCTGTCCTAGTAAGAATAATCGAAAGAACTACGCCCGCATCTATTCCGATTCTGAGCATCGTAGCCTCGTTCATTGTGTGTGCCTTAAACAGACATTTTGATGTGCTACAAAAAATATTTACCGAACTAAATTTTACAATAATTGCATGTATGCTAAGCGTCCGCAGTATATTTCAGGCTGGTTTCATAACACCCGATTAAGGCAAGAGGTTACCATATAACGACATGCATTAACTATAATCTTAGCCCCGAGATAAAGCTTAACATTCGATTGGTTAAGTATTATACGTAGATACTGCATTATTGTTTTGTATCTACAAAGTTAAGTTGAGGTCTTAAGAAATGACAATGAGGGAGTGTGAATTAATAAAACTAAAGGCCTTACTTAGTAAATGCTTAGGAATTTAATGTCGAAATACTGACGGCGTTTGCCATGTTGTCAATCGTACCTACACACTTTAATTAGAGAAAATTTCTTAATTCAACTAAAAAGTAATGTAAATGTTTATCTCCGTTAAAAACAGAATTATTGAGTTTTATTTTAAGAAGTAGGCTTTTCGTAAGCACCTATTTATTTTTTTTTATTATCGAACAGCGCCCCCCTGAATAAAATTTTCACCAGTTGCCGCTGATTAAAGTTCTTTATATATAGCATTTATATGGTCTTAATCATTACTTTTATATTAATTATTAATTTTATATTAGAATGGTTTAATAAAGCTATATCAATAGTCAACAGCCATACCGCTAAAATGTCAAAATTTGCTGTAGCAATAAGTAAATAGCAAGTAAATATCAATTTTTACTTATAAGTATTTATTATGCATGATTTTTACTCTCTTATGCATAAAGATAAGTCCTAAGACTTTACAATTCTCAAGATAATCTGTTAAAAAGTTTTATAGCCAAGGGTTATTATTTTATATCTTTGTAGACATCAGACTTTATGTTTTATTTCAATCTATTTTAGATATTGGAGATCGTTATCAAATTTAGTCGCCTCTCTGTTAAATTCAATTCAATCTATTGCGTCACTGTTGCTACTACTGTTTCTGTTTATTGTTATTTTTGCACTTCTTGGAATGCAAGTATTTGGTGGAAGATTTAACAAGGATACGGAAGAAAAAACTAGGTATAATTTCGATAGCTTCTGGCAGAGTTTGTTGACAGTGTTCCAGGTAAGATTATTTGTTAACCAAAGTTAAAAATATAATGGAATACAAGCTCGTGGCACATTTTTAGGAGTCATTTGATCCAACATGAATCACAGGTAAATTACTACTACAATATATAATAACAGCGTTGGAAACTATGGCGCCCATTTTTATACTCAAGCAAATTAACCCTTAACTTTGCAAAACAAGAAATACGCAAAATAAAAATTATTTCTGACTTCATTTTTTCAAGTCGTCAATTATTACAGTTTCTTCAATAAACTTTTTTTTTGGACACATTTATACGTGAGTACCTGAATGCACAACGCCAAGAAACCATAAAACAATATATGTGTATTAAAAGACACATTACCATTTTGTACCTACTTGTTTTTTAAATTAAATTTCGGTGGAAGAATTAAATAATACCCAGCGCTATACTGATTTATTTTATTACCAACAATAATTTACGATGATTACCTTCTCATATGAAAATCGTAAAAACAATTTCTTTTCGACACAAAACATAGACGTACGTGACATTTCGTACATTTTATATGTGTTTTGGCATTACTACATATCGGATTTGAAATAGTTTTACTAAAAGCTATAACTACTTGCTCACTCAGTCCAAAAGTCTGTTTTGGTTCATCAAATGTGATATCTCGAAATGTATAATCGCCGTCATAAGGTAGATTATTCCTGAGATTCCGCAGCGCAGAAATAATTTGAAACCCCATTTTTTAGGGCTTATTTTTGATATATTGTCGCCTAGAACCAGCTTTTTTTCCTTTGTCAGTAACCATCATTTCGTCCATGGACATTCGTCTTTTTTCTTGAATTTTTAGAAAATACGTCTACATAGTCCATCACAGGTCTTTTTTTTTCGTCTTTATAGAGGGGGGGTCTGAAATCTTCAAAAGACATCTCAGTCCAGGACGCCGCCTGACTGACCTTAGGGCAGGATTCGTTCTTCGTACTCCCGGCGATAGTTTCCGAGGTACTTTAAAATGCCCTCTCGTCGCCGAGTCTACGCCGAACGCCTACCTGCTAAACCAGACCCTCCTCTGTCATCCAGCGATCCGGAAGCGGAATGGCCGCTGTAAGGCCGGCATCACTTCCGAAGCACTACCTTTATTCATTCATTCTCCATTCATACACATCCACACTCCTAGTTCGGCATCATTCTCAGAAGGGTATTTCCTCCTTCCCCACAGTCAAACTCACGCATTCTAACTCAAAAAGTGTGACCCACTGTTCTAACTTCACCTTTCAGCATCATTCACTCTACCTTTGCCGTTGGTCCAGCTGTCTTTCTTCCTCTTCCTTTTTTTTTGATCACTGCACGGATATAACTGTGTATGTTAATCCAACCTAATTTATTTTCAATCATTCTCTCAATCATTTCTCTCACTGTAACAAAATTCGCACCTGTCTCTCTCTCCATTCTGTTCCTTTCCACTATCCATCTGCTGCAATCTAACATCGTATGTGTCACAGTGTCCGAGTATCCACAATATAGGCATTCATCTGTATCAGCCTTACCGATCCTATAAAGGTAGGCCCTAAAACGCCCGTGTCCTGTGAGCACCTGCGTCAGGAAATAATCCAATCGCCTGTGGTCACAGTCCACCCAAACTCTTATGTTAGGGATCAGCATTTTCGTCCACTGTGCCACATCCTCCGTATTGTTCCATTCTTCTTGCCATCTTTCAACTGACCTTTCCCTTACCTGTCTTCTCTCAGCCACAGTAAGGTTTGGGCCTCTTCTCTCATTAAGCTCTTTTCTTTCGGTCCATAGTCAAGAGAGAACGTCTGTTGCTAGTGGCAGTAAACGGTAGAAAAAGAGTACTTCTGTTGCTAGCAATAGTCAACAGGCAAGAGAGAGGACGTCTGTTGCTGGTGGCAGCCAACAGTCGAGAGAGAGGTCGTCTGTTGCTAGCGATAGTCAACAGCCAAGAGAGAGTCTTTTTCGTTTGCTATTTTAAAACTGTTATTTATTATTATTATTTATTATTTATTATTTATTATTTCTAATAACTTGTCATCAAAAAACATTTTAAAATATTCAATTATAGATAAAATTTTATCTGCAATTTGATAATTATCAATATCTACCGGGTTCCCAGCTGAACTATATGAAGGAGGTGGCCATGATACCAATATTGTTTTACAACAGCTTATAAAGGAAATATGAACACAGAAATCCCTCCCCAATGATTGGAATATTGGAATACTTTGCATCATACACAAAATGGAGATATATTTGAATGCTCTAACCACAGAGGAATTACGCTTTCAAATGGAGCGTATAAAATATTTTTCATATTTTTCATTATGGCACCATATGCAGAATGGAACTGAAACAAATTTTGGAAAAAACACTGGAATATGGCATTGACACTCATCACATATTTATAGACTACAAAGCAGCCTACGAATCTGTGCATAGAAGGGAAATGTTCAAAGCAATGAAAGAGCTAGGAATACCAAATCCGTTGGTAAATTTACCAACACTAATTCTTGAAAAAGTTAAATGTAAAGTACGAATTCACTGAATCTTCTAAAAGAAATAATGGGCTGCGTCAGGGAAACCCCCTTTCCTGTATACTGTTCAATCTGACTCTGGAAAAAGTAATACGTACGTCACAAATCATAACTACTAATTTAATATATAATAAATCAGTGATTTGGCAGGGTTGTGTTTTGTCACCCACTCTTTTTAATCTGTACTCTGAAGAAATCTTTAGGGAGGCTTTGGATGACAGACAAGAGGGAGTAAGACTAGGTGGAGAAGTAATCAACAATATTAGATACGCTGACGATACAGCCATTCTTGCAGAAAGTTTACAAGATCTCCAAACATTACTAAATCTAGTCAGTGAAGCAAGTTATCGGAGAGGCCTAAAAATCAACATTTTAAAGACAAAGTGGATGGCAGTTGGAAAGATCCATATAGATCAAGGTCTGCTTTCTCTTAATGGAGAAGAGATAGAAAGGGTAAATCATTTCAAATACCTTGGCAGCTGGTTAAATGTAAATTGTGACTCTGATGAAGAGATAATATCCAGGATCGAAATATCACGTAAGGCTTTTATGACCTGGAAACCAGTTTTATGCAACAGAAACCTGTCAATGAACATTCGTAAGAAGGTCCTGAAATGTTATGTGTGGTCGATCCTATTGTATGGTTGTGAGACATGGACGTTAAAAACCACAATGCTAAACAAGTTAGAAGCATTCGAAATGTGGTGCTATAGACGAATCCTAAAGATATCGTGGGTTTCGCACACTTCCAATGAAGATGTTCTTCAAATGATCAACTCGGAACGTCTGCTCATAAACATCATAAAGAGGAGAAAAACAGAATACTTCGGCCATATAATTAGAGGACCCAAATACCATTTACTTCGCCTTATAATACAAGGAAAAGTGGAAGGAAAGAGATGGATTGGTCGAAAGAAACTTTCATGGCTGCGTAATATTAGACAATGGTGTGGTTTCACAGTAGAAGAATTATTTCGCGCAGCAGCCGACAGAGAAAGGTTTCAGGAAATTGTAAGCATGATGACGGCCAACGTCTGAATACGGACACGGCACTCAAAGAAGAAGAAGAAATCAGTGCAAATACTGGCCTATGCCGATGATATCAATATTGTTGGGAGAACGGAAAACGCTGTACGAAAAGCGTATGTAAAACAAAGTATATGAAAATAAATACGCAAACACAAATCCTACGACCACTTGTTGCTATTTTGGGCTCAATCTCCTTAAATCGACAATTATATCGAGAAATACAAAAATAAAACTCTACAAAATAATAGTACGCCCAGTCCTTAACATATGGTTCAGAGACCTGGATTCTAACAAGAAATAATGAACATGTTAGTATGTTTCGAAACAAATATCTACCAGGAGATGTGGTATATCTTGGTAGATGTTATATAACCAGGAGAATATATCAGGAACCCGATATCGTAAAACATATTAATATACGACGTCTGAGATGGATAAGACATGTAATGCTGATGGAACAAAAGGACAAAATGACCCAGCTAGAAAAACGCTTTTTGATAGACCTATTGGTCAGAGAAGAAGAGGAAGACCCAGAGCAAGGTTCCTTGATAACATCGATGAAGACATAAGAAATATGGGAATACGTGCTTGGCGGATAAAGGCGATGGATAGGGACGACTGGAGAGAAATTATTGAGGAGGCTAGGACCCACGCAGGGTTGTAAACCCAGAATGTTGATGAATATCTACCGGATAGCCAAAAGGTTCTTTTGTCCAATTGTATAGTTTTTCTTTCTTTGTTTTGTTTTCTTTTTTACCTTTTTATAGTCGTTTGTGTTTTAAACCGAAACGTTAATGATTAAGCACATCTGCGAAGATTTCATCTACATCCCCAATACGTTTATCTAGCTCATTGTTTTCAGGATCTTCTGCTTTTTCTACCTCTTCATTTTTTCCTACGTTTTCCAAGATCTACTCATTTTCGAGCAATAAATTTGATCAAATAATGAACTTAGATGAATTTTCTGATGCATCTTTATTAACACTCTCTAATACGGGATACGCTAAAGGGGTAGACGATAACACAATATTCTTCATTATCACTTTCAATATCGTAGTCAATATTTTATACTCACAATCCTCCTTATCATTTATTTGTTGAGTTGCTAATTGTAATATTCTCTTTGTTCTGTTAAAATCCATAGTCTGAAATAAAGACAAACTTGAAGTTAATACCCAGGGACCATTATTAAAACGTATTGGAATAAATTTGATAAAAATCACAAAATATATTAATTTTACACAGTTAACGATGCAACGGGTACTACGTACTACCCTGGACACCTAGTACTTGTCGTTTATATTTAAATGGTCTAAAACGGTATTTCAATTCACATTTATTGTTGTTCTGTTCGTCTTATTGCCGATGTGATTTTAAATTTGCATAAAGACGAAGCTTACATCTTATCACAAATCTAAATTGCGAAACTATTGATATCTTACTAAAGGACAATGCTTACCTTATTCGATTTTATTCAAAAAATTTAAAATTTACAGAACTAACCTATACAAAGTTGAGAAATTTTATACACCCAAATTTAAAAATTCGAGCAGTGTAGTTATCAGTAAAAAGAACACGGGTGTATTAAAATATACATTGCTATATCTACGCAGATTTGGAGCTCACATATAAATGTCGTACAAATAAGTATATCGTACCGTTGACTCACCTGTGCCGTCAAGATTTAACGGCATAGTTTCTAAAGTTGTTATTACATATTGTAGTATTGTTTTACATGTGATTCATGCTGGGTTAAATAACCCATTAAAAATCTCCCATTGGCTTGTAGTCTATAATAAAAAATGAAATTACTTGATGGGATTAGTGTTCTATTCTAAAATAATTATATTTTTTGTTTAAAGATTCTTACTGGTGAAGATTGGAACGTAGTTATGTATGAAGGTATACAGGCATACGGAGGAGTTGAGTCTCCTGGTGTCTTATCCTGCATATACTTTATTATTCTGTTTATTTGTGGTAATTGTATCCTTTTAGCCAAAACATATTTGTATTTTTCAAACTAAATATATATTATCCTTTTTAACTTAATTAGGTATCTGTTGACATGATATGACTAAATTAACATATAATATCCTGTAGAGTTAAGCGTGGACTTTTACATTTTAAAATGGAAAAAAGGCACTTTTTAAATATAAAAAACTATTAAATTTATGGTTATATAATTTTTTTATACATTGAAGAAGGTTTTGAGGAATACAATAGTTTTGAGGTATTTTTTTGCATTTATAATTGTTTTTCATCAGGGCAGAGGGCGTTTTCTAAAAGGTGTATTTTAATTTGGGAGATACTTTTCTGCCTTCCTGTAACATTTTTTTTATGGGATTATATTTGTGAGATTTAAAACTAATAAATAAATCGTTAAAAAGTTTTTTTTTTACATTTTTATCGCCTTAATACGCGATTTTATGAAAAGTTCGAAAAAAACACCTATTTGGGGATGAATTTAACCCTGTACTAAAAAGGTGAGTAATTTTCTTTAACTTTTTAGGGGCTAAATAGACGTATTCATATAAAAAGTACCAAAAAATGTTTACTGAGATTGGTGTAGTAAATTTTGAGAAAAACATCTACCATTTTTGAAACATGTGATTTTGAGAAAAACGCCTTTACTGATTCTATCGAATAAAATGCTCATCTTTACGTTTTTTTATCAATCACTGATTCATGGTGCTTATTGGGTACCATCTTTGTACAGAAAAAGCAGTAAATTGTTGGTCAGAGCTTTTTTCAAAATTCTGTCTTTTTTTATGTCTCGCTGCTCCTTCTATTGGTTTCAGCAATACGAGCTTTGTCGGTATTTTCCGAATAACTCCTTGTTATTTCTCAAATTTTTATTTCCATAAGGTTAATTACTGTCAGGTTGATTTAAACTGCTTTATTAAAGGCACAGACTGCTATCCAGAAGGCTATCTGCACCACATTTTTGCTACCAAATTAATTTTTTGGAGTTATTTGTGAAATTAAATCGTAACTTTCATTACAATTTTGTGTAGGAGTTTCTAAAACGCCTCACTAAGGGGACACATGAAAAAATTCGTGTTCCTTCGACAATAAATGCCGGCGGGACCCAGGTCTACCTGGCCTTTCGGCATTTAACTTTTAGCTTGCCACTAACCCCTACGAGTCAGACACCATTTGAGGGTAGAGCCTTGGAGCATCCTGGAGTTCCACTCTCCCCTTAGTACCTGTGTTGCGGTAGTAAACACCCCTTCGTTATGCCCCCGGGGCGGAAAAGTGAACGTAGGTCGAGGCTCGACTAGACAGAAAGCCGCGGAGAAGCTCTGCTCTCCCACTCTTAGGGCTCCCAAGGTGGATACGTACCATAACCTCACGCCCTTAATGGGGAAAGGGTGTATGAGGGACGCAGCTCGTTCAACCTTACTTTGGCTCTGTGGAATGAGAGTAGAGTGGTCTCATGAGAGAAGAGTCTCGGATACTAGGAGTGTGACCGTAACGTTGAAGCGCCCTGCGTGCGTTTTTACAAACCGCGACACCTCATACCACGGCTCTCCACCTTTCATTCCTTTTTATTAGTCACCTCTTACGACAGGCAGGGATAACTTGCCCCGGCTGTATTCTCATGTCCGCGAGCCGGACGGAGGCTAATTCAAAAAGGAGGCGCAGTAAAAACATAATTTTATACACTAGGATCGAGTGCTGGTTTATATTTGTACGCCTCTTTGTTTTTCCTTGCTTCGTAATAACAAGTTTTTTTCATGTTTCTGATACAATTTGAATACCTCTAAATCTCTATTGTCTTTTCCCTATTACTGAGGATCGTGATTTCTTCCAATATTCCTAACAATTTTTCTCCATTGGTCTCTATCTTTAGCTACACTAAGAGCTTCGCAGAATGAGTTTCTAGTTCAATTTTTTCGAATTTTACTCTTTTGACTATTTGAATATTAAATATTCTATAATAAGGGCAACAAAGTTAAGATTATATCGAACTGTGATTCAACCAACAGTAACGTATGGCAGTAAGAAGAAAATACTTTACATATGTGAGAACGAGGTGTACTCAGAACAATTTCTGGAGAAGTTAAAGTGAGAGAAAATTAATGAAGAAGACCAACGAAGGCCGAAGTTAAGGAGTTATATGGGAAATCAAAAAAAGTGGAGAAAAGTAGTGAAAGTATGCATACGAGACGACCACAATAAAATTATTGTTTAAGGAAGTAAATGCATCAATCATTAAAGTTTATCACTCGAGAATAATATTAAAAGGAACATTTTGTGTTGCACAAAAAAAGAATGTCAAAAGGCGATAGAAAAAGCACTTTATTAAACGATGAATTTGACAGAAAATACAGTAAAATTAACAAATACAATAACAAAAAAGATAAAAAGATGAGGATCTAGCACAATGTAAATGGTAAAGCAATTAAACCATAGTGATATACCTAAAGAAATGTGCAAAGTGTAAGGAAGCATAGGAAAGAATTGGCTAGTAGGATAAATAACTTTTTTGATGTCAAATCTCTATAATTCTAAAAGGTGTTAAAAAAACGTAATTATCTGTTAAACTACCTTATACAACATAAAAAACCTTGTATTGCAAAAAACGAGAACATCGAGAAGAGTCCACAAATTTAAAAATATACTGGGTGTTCCATTAAAAAAGATAAGTTTGTTTTACACCGTCAATGTGGTTGGCCCTGTATATTTAAAAATATTTTCAAAGTAGAGTTCTATTTATGCTTTAGTATTTACCTAAATAATATTTTTTATTATTTAGGTATGTCGTAACAGATTATTTAATAAACTCTTACGACAAATGAGTAATTGGACTTTCTCGCACTAATGCCGCACCCTGTATATTTTTTTGATTTTTACTTTTAGTCGTATTCTCCATAAATTAAGTTTTTTTAGTCTCTTAACTTTAGTATAGAAAGTGATAAACTCTTCCATATCTTATCAAAAATAATTATTAAAAATATAAATTCTTCCACAGTTTACCTAAAGGAAATGTAATTTTTGTTTAAAAATGTTTTATTTTCCTAACAAATTCTTAGATATCCTACTAAATGTGTTCTTGGCTATTGCCGTGGATAATTTAGCTGATGCCGAATCTCTTACTGCGATCGAAAAAGAAGAAGAAGAAGGCGAACGAAAATCGACGAGTCCGACGCCACACGAGGATTTAGAAGAAGAACATAGTGTAGAAGAGGAGGAAACCGATGACGGACAATATTCGGGAAGGTATATTAAAGAGTAATCTATGTATTTATATTTTTTATTGATAAAGTAATGACATTATTAATTAACTCTTATTTTTAATAATAATTCAATAACGATTCAGTTGCCAAATGGCTTTCACGTTTTTATTGCTTACATGATTACTCTTTTCTTCTTGGTTGTTAAACGGATATAAGTGTCGTAATATTAAGTTAAACATTTTCAAAGATTGGATAAAACATTAGGGTAGATTGTACATCTAAAGTTAACCATTTGACCTTATACCCTATATGTATATATTTAATGTAGGCTTCAAAAAGTCTATTATTCGTTTCGGAAAAATATTCTTTACCTGTTCCAGGTATTTATGGCGTTAGGGAATAATTGCTCCCGAGAGACAATATGTTCGGTAATTTCGTCTGCGTTTTCACAGAGTCTGCACGTTGCGTTCATGCAACACTTTATGTTCACTTTGTCCATTTCACAGAGATAATCTGATTGAGCAGTTTATAGTAAAAAAATCTATGAGTTTAGTCCTCTGAACCTCTAAAAGTATTTTTCTGTGTAGGGAAAGTTGTAACAACAATTTTTCTTTGCTTTTGCTTAGAGTAGGTATATTTTCAGTAGTCTTCATTAAACTCTTTTGTCCATTTTCGGCTATATATTCCACTATACTGGTTTTTGATAAACCGCAGAATGACTCTGGTCTGATAAACGAAGTCCGATAAAATTAGTATAAGCTCCTTCTTTAGCAAGACATCAATCTCATTATCAACAATTAGTTTATTACTTACAAGCAAAATTACTTTTTTGTGTCCTGTCAGTTTCCGTAGAGAGTGTTTACAGTTCTAAGCTGTTACCGACTTATAAGTTGTAGAATTCATAGCTTTTAGTGTAACTAGGGTAGTCTGAATTGAAGCGTTTTTTATATACCCTTAAGCAAAAAAATCCATTACTAAAGCCAAGATCCCAAGGAACGCTGAGCGGCGCTCTTCACCTCTTCACGTCGGCAAACAGAAATAGAAAATAGATAATAGTGAAAAGAAAAGAGAGCACGGTTCTCCCGCACGTTGCTGGGAAATTAATAGATATTTACTTTTTGATAAATTCACACGACCAACCCCAAAATTTAAATGAAACGTGTCCTCTAGAGTATTGAGGGTTTTATTTTAGTTTTTTTTTTGGTATACGCCACCAGTGTTGGCGGTAAAAATTTAAGTAAGTTCGGTAATTTATACAATGATAGAAAAATTCCAACACAACTTCGTTGGACCACTCCATAATAAAATTACCACGACACTGACCGTACCAGCACTCAGCAGCATCGAGAGGGTTGGAGGGGTTAGTACCTGCTGTGCATCAGCTTCCGACCTTCTTTTGAACCGTGTTGATTTACCTACAAATGACAAAGCTGCTCGCATAGACAATAAATCGACAGTTCTGCCCTATTCCACCGATTGTAAAACACAAATATTGAGGAAAGAACGGCATTTTACGTTGAGTTGGTTAGCGTCTTTATATTTTGTCTTTTTCTATTATTTATTTTCTTTTCCTCTTCGCCAACTGTGAACCGATAAAGAATGCTGCTCCATGTTCCGTTAAATCCCAGCTTAAGTGAATGAAATATTGTACAAATAGGTATGTTCGTGGGCTATTTAGAGACTAGTGCTAGAACGAATAAACCCTATTAATACTTACTATGCGTTATTTATATATCAATAGAATACGGAGGGTTGTGCATGTGGTTTTTTTGTTTTAATTTACACTGTTTTATGAGATGTTTAGTGTGTAGTCTTCATAGATTGCGTTGTTCTAACCTTTTTTGCTTCTCCGGGCGCCGAGTCCCCTCCTCGAACTGGGTCCAGTACGTTGACTGGACGCTCGAGAGTTTGGGCTCCTCCGTCCCGTTTATTTTGTATTTTATATAATGCCACAGTGTTAGTCCATAATATGTTTGGTTTTCAGGTCAGAGCATGACGAGGAGCAAGGATCACAAACAAAGATTGCTGAAGAAGGAGAATTCGAAGAAGAACCAAACGAAGGTTAGTTTAGAATCTTATATGAATCTATAATATATATTTTTAAGTACGGTATACTTATTATTATAGTAAATACACGTATATTTTTATATTATAAATATAATTTACCAACTAATTGCTAATAACAGGGTATTAGGCATTGCATCAAAATATTATGTTAGTGTCGATTTTTAACTTGTAATAAGGGTGCTACTCTATACCGTTGATATATAATATTCACAGACCTCCTATTTATATTTGTATTTATAGACTATAAAAACATCCACAATTTTAACATTGACATTTTAGTGGTCTATGTGCTCAGAACGCTTTATAGTATGAATTCTTCGTCTTTAAATTGGTCTTATTGCTCACTCGTTGGCGAATTTCGTGACAATTGATTAAAATCAGCCAGCCCACCAAAAATCGTCTAGTGCCATGCTTGAATTAATATAGAACGGTGTTGTAAATTTGGACATTTTTTGATAAATGTATCATAACTCTTTAAAGTATTTCTACATTTAATGCTCATTTTACTGTATCGTTGTATAATTAAGTGTATCTTTTCTTGTAATAATTAATACTTTCTATGTTTTTCTACTAAAATTTAATTTCCATAGAATTGTTCAGAGATGTCTCTTCGTATTTTATATATATATAATATATATATATATATATATATATATATATATATATATATATATATATATATATATTAGTGGATTTTCTTGGGCTTAGGTTGATAAAAAAAGTTGCTTTGATACTAAGACATTTTCATTTATTTTTTCGACGTTTCAGCAGGAAATCCATGCATTTTTCAAGAAGTAATATAGACTAAAAAAACATTTTATCACAGACCTAATACGGTTTAAAAGTTAAACTTTTGACTTACCAAGATGTAAAAATTCGGTGCTAACAAGTAGACGTCACAATTAAAATAATATTAAAAACATAGGACATACCCACTAAGTCACTACATGTGAAATGTATTTTAAATCTAATATGTTGTTTATTGATATTAGTTTATCGTTTATCGTTTAAACACATTTAGATTTAAAATACATTTTACATGTAGTGACTTAGTGGGTATGTCCTATATTTTTAATATTATTTTAATTGTGACGTCCACTAGTTAGCAACGAATTTTTACTTGCTTGGTAAGTCAAAAGTTTAACTTTTAAACCGTATTATGTCTGTGATAAAATGTTTTTTTAGTCACTATTACTACTTGAATAAGGCATGGATTTTCTGCCGAAACGTCGAAAAAATAAATGAAAATGTTTTAGTATCAAATCAACTTTTTTATGAACCCAACCCCAAGAACATCCACTAAAAAATATATATTAAGGTTCAAGAACTAAACTCAAACTATATATATATATATATATTATATATATATATATATATATATATATATATATATATATATATATATATATATATATATATATCATCGAGAAAAGAAGTACGACCGTTAATCCAATATAAATTAAGGACCCATCGGTTTTTCGGTCAAAAGGTGGAGAAAAAAGACAAAGAAGGTGGCTACTTCATCTATTTATTTAAAAACGTTTCGCTCACATACTATATATACAGTGGCTCACAGCTTAAATATTGCAGTCGCTACTCAATAAAACCAGCTTGCGTCAGCGGCTCAATATTTATTAGAAAAAAATTATATAGCTTCTTAAATTAAATTACTATACGTCTTCTAAAATAGCAAGCTATTTTTTGGGTTTCAAATATAATATACTTAAATAACAATAAATATTTTTTTATTTATTGTGTGATTTTGTTGTCACAGTAAAATGGTGCAAATGAGATGAAGCGTTACACAACTTATTTACACAATATTTAATCAACAAATAACAAAATTATTTAGGAATGGGTCGCCGAACTACTATTAGTGAAAGAAATTTAATTATGATTCATCCTAGAAATGTCCCAAAGAGACATATCCAAAATGATAAATAAATGTTCATCAACAGTTTATTAAACAATAATATAACATTATTAAACGTTACCGAAATAAAAATAGATTTAAAAATAAATCAAGGTTAGGTCCAAATAAGATTTTTACCGAACGTGAGAAAAGATGCAGAAATAGCAATTTCTACACAAAGTGTAGAAATCCTACAAAAAGTGCACCAAAATTGCGGGATTCGGTGAAAAGACAGTTTGGAAAACAATGTAACCACAAAACAATTAGAAGGATATTACGAAAGCATAACCTACAAGGTAAAACTGCTAGAAATAAACCTTGTATTCGCCAAAGAAATAGGCGTATTAGATTTATGTTCGCTAGGGAGCATGTTAACAAATATTTAAACTTTTGGAATTTAGTAATATTGGCTGATGAAAGCAAAAATAAACATTTTGGATAGGATGCACAAGTATTGGTGTGAAGAAAGTCGAATGAAAAACTAAAATTAAAAAACATGAAAGCTACGGTAAAGCACTGTGGAGATGGAGTGCTGATGTGGTGGTGTATGTTACCTACTCCATCTACAGGAGTAGGTAACATGCAGTTTATTAAAGGGAATGTGAACCAATATATGTATTTGGATATATTATGGCAGCATCTCGTCGCTAGTGCTTAACAATTACATATTAATTACAATTACCGATTTTATCAGGACATCGATCCAAAAAAACACGTCATATCGTGGTTGCTTTTTAATTGCCGAAATGTTAATAAAACACCAGCCCAGTCACCAGATTTGAACGGAATTGAAAATTTGTGGTTGGTAAAACCGGTTTTTTTGGCCGGTTATAACCGCCAGGTTAAACCGTAAGCAAAAAACCGGTATAAACGAAAACCGGTGTTTTGTCAAAAACCGCCATCCCTAGCTGTAACATAAAAATCCAACATAAAATAATTAAACATTTATTTTTATTTAAGTATGATATATTTGAAACCCAAAAAATAGCTTTTACTATTTTAAAAAACTTGTAGTAATTTAATTTCAGTATGTATTTTTTTTCTAATAAATATTGTTTTCTATAAACAAGCTAGTTTTATTACGTAGCTACTGTATCGCTGCTACTGCTACTGCATATTCCCCCTATAGCATTCTGATAGGGGCACAACTATCAGCCAAATTCTCTTCATGTGGGAGTCCTTGGTAATAAAACTTCAACACGGTCCCCTTCTTCTTTAAGTTTCATCATCTATCGAAGGTTGGACAACATCATGGCTATACGGACCCTGTTGACTACCGCTCTAAATAGTTCTGCACTACTGCATTCAAATATTTCCTTCAAGTTCTTAAGCCACAATATTCTTCGTCTTCCCACATATCACTTTCCTCTAATCGATTCAAATTTAGGCTAGAGTTAAGCGCTTTATTCCTGTTCCTGTCGCGAAACTGAAATTTCTCGCTTAGGTCTCAAGCCTCTGGTTTTCTATTTTCCGAGACATGCCATCACATTTTACTTTTATTATTTACTCACGTCGTCCTTCTCCATCTGTTTTATACGTTTTAACGTTTGGCATTCCTTTCTCCAGGTAGCTGTAGCTTTCTCCGTGATTATTGTTAGTTGTTGCCCTGGAAACCATCAGGGTCTTCTAACTCTAATGCCACAAATTAGTCGCATTGCTCCTGTAGTGATCCTTTTCTAAGTTAACATTCTCCTTTGCTCCACCGTACTAAAGACAACCAACAGTCAGAAGTATCTATATGCGGTTGCCTTCCATCGATATACCTTTTTTGGTTTTCTGTTTTGCCAGACATGCAATTACATTTTACTTTTGAGAGAGTTTGATATCTAAATGACTGTCTTTTCTCTATAAATGTATAATTATGTCTTTAATCATACTGTGAGTTGTTTCGGCATTACTGATACTCATCAGGCAGTGCCAGATAGAGGACAGTCTCAAAGAGGCACGAGTTTTACACGAACTTCACACTTTCGGTACAAGGTTTATAGCTTAGTCGTTTACCCCTACAAATGTCAATAGTTCTTCCAACTTCTTCCATTAGGTCCCTTTCCATTATTATTCTCTGTGTTACTATTTTGTCTTATAGTATATTTTCCTCACCTTAATAAATGTTATTGCTTGTTTATAACTTTAAAAAAGTGTGGTATGTTTTATGTGTGTATCAACAAGCTATAGATTTTTAAACAAGTGTGTGCCCAATTTTATTGAACGGTGTAGAAGTTGAATGACAAACGATCTGAGCACATTTACCAATAACACATCAATTTTAACGTATCTATGCTGTGTTGGTAAATCTAAAATTTAATTGGCACCCTTTGTGATGTCTGTATCTGAAAATACAAATTCCCTATATAGGTTTCGATTAAATGTTACAAAAGAATTTTAAATTAATTAAATTTTAATGAAAGACAGATTTGCTTCATTTTTAAGAGGGTTCTTCAAAAGCCTTTTGAAATGATTATATAATGCTATAAGGATAATTAAGTCAATTGCAAATCGTCTTTAAACCGATTGAAGTCATTTATTGCGTAAAAGCTCAGTAATTACAAATATAAATGTCAGAAATACATTTCTACACAGGAAAAGAGAAATATAAATCCCTATCCTACAAAGTTTCAACTTTGACATTACTTGATAATAAAAAGTGATAATTGACGTTAATATAAATTGATGTGAGTTTCATATGTTAGGTTTTCTTTATATTTCTATTTTATATTTTCGTTTAATTGTGTTATTTTTAAGTAGAAATCCTTCTCGTTGTTTGCACATCGTTAAAATGTCTCTAATCAGTAGTTATTTGATCAGTGGTGGAAACGAAAGAAATAATCTCATTTCATAACTTGGTAACTTGCCGAGTTTTGTTCGTTATGTCATCTAAATGGGAGTGATGATGTCATTAATTATTTTCCGTAAACATATGTGGTGCCTTTGCACCACATATGCATATAAAACATTCAACAGCTAGCAAAGATTTATTCCTCCGATATATTTCTCAGTTTACGATTAAGTTTTTATTGTTGTACCTAAATCAACTTTGTATCTTCTCGTTTGCTAGTTTCTTATCTTTTTCTTCTACACTTTT